TTCCCCATTATGTCGTGTGTAAATGTATTGTGAGCAATAACGGCCGACGCGACGCGACGCGCTCATCGCATAAAGGTCAGCGGGCAGTGGTCCCTGGTAACTGGTGAGTGGGGCCACGTGACACTGAAGTGGCCACGACGTACTATAGTACGCACGCTATTAGTAAACAAGCGCGTCTTTACACTTCGCGGCCTGCACCCGCGCTCATGTCAATTTCAACCCGGACCTCGAGACACATGTTATGCAGATCATAGACAATTAAGTAAAAACCTGTTCAAAGCGGATAATTTTATAAATTTTAATAATTGTGATCATTAAAATATGTAGAAAAAGTGCGAAAAGATTGTCGCCGCTGTGGGAATCGAACCCACGTCTTCGGCATTTGTGATCATATGAATAATATCACTACATAGTATAAAAACAAGTCGTCCCGCTGTCTGTCTGTCCCGTATGCTTAGATATTTAAAACTACGCAACGGATCTAGATGCGGTTTTTATACTATATAGAATGATTCAATAGGAAGGTTTATATGTATAATACATTGCACCCGTGAGAAGCCGGAGCGGGTCGATAGTTAATTATAAAGGGCAAGTGATACGAAATGCAACCAATGTGACATTCCTAGGTTTAATAATAGATGATAAGTTAAATTGGAAACGACATGTATAAAAAGTGCACAAAAAAATAAATTCATTTTTGCGATAAGTAAGTTAGTAAAAACCACCACGCGTAAAACGGCCCTGATAACATATTTTGCGTATATTGAATCGGTTCTAAGGTATGGTCTAATAATATGGGGACACACTACTGATATGATAAGGACGTTCATTGCACAGAAAAAATGCATAAGAGCAATATGCAATCTTGGTCCTAACGAATCATGTAGACCCTACTTTAAAACCATACAAATTTTACCCCTGACAGTTGCCAAATTCGTTAAAATGTACTGATATCTTTTCCTAAAAGCTTAAATCATAGGACTATCAGAAATCCAAAACGCCTGGCCCTAGATATAGTACCAAAAACCAAACTATACCAAAATAACTGTACTGCAATGTGCGTAACGATATAGAATAAAATTCCAGAATCGATAAAAGATTTGCCAATAAATAAGTTTCACATATCATTAAAAAATTGGCTGATAGAAAAAAAGATGTTAATTATACTGTAAATGAATTTTTAAACTCTTAATTAACATAGTTTACAAAATCCCACTAGAATTATAATTAGAAATCAATTTATCAAAATTAGGATCTGGATTCGAGTCGGCCGATGGACAATCAATGCATTTCATCAATAATTCTTTTTATATTGTTAAATAAGATTGTAGTTCTAAAATGCATTACATATTTATATAATTGAATTAATTATATTTGAAATTAGTACAATTTATTTACAATATTAATTTATAGTATAAACTAATTATTGTTAAATTTTATTATAATTATATAAATTTAAACTAATCTTAAATTCAATGAAATGACTCGATCACAGGTATTATAGTAATATTGACTTTCATTTATATTTGCATGCTGTTTACTCGTTTAAGTGGCTATACAAGTGGAACTAAAAACAATTATAATTGTACCATCATAAATCATACCTTGTGTAATGGTAAATAAATAATTAAATAAATAAAGATTATATTTAATAGACAAAGAACTGCCGAAGACACGCTAGTATATAGTAAACTCAAATTCCAATGTTTTTGTATGTAATTGTAATTAAATGAGACGGAGAGGTCTTTGTTATAGTGAGAACGCTTGAACGTTAATGTATGTACGGGAATTAAACGTCACGTGAATTCAGACCATCAATAACGCGGCGCAATGACAACTTAAGCCCTAAGCGGAGCCGGTATCTGCTGACCTTTTTAAGCTGTTATTCCGCGCCGTAAAACAAGACAAGGAACTCTAACGTTTTCCATTATGTGCTTCCCGCCTGCCAATTGAATGCATTGTTTGCGAAACTCTTTAATTTATATAATAACTGATCATTATTATCTTTCAAAAACGGTTTGTGTTTAAAACCATGCATTTCAATTTCTATACATTCACATCTAGTTTCATTTAAATAGCTTAATTGATTATTGATGACCAACCAATGATTGTTGGCAAAGAGTACTTTTGTATATCTGAAATTTATTTGTATATTTGTATATTCTGTTGTAATTTGTATATTATTATTTCTGGACGTGGTTTTTACGAGTAACAGATCGTAAATTTTAAACATAATTTTGGTTGTACATTGCAAATGTAATACAGTTCAGATCGTTATGGAAGGGGAGAAAATCAATAATCATACAAAAATGGAATTGAGATTTGATTAGACATTAAAAAAACCGGCCAAGTCCGAGTCGGAGTCACGAACGAGTGGTTCCGTACCACTATTTAAAAATGGCAAAAAAAAATCATGTCTATTGTATGGGAGCCGCACTTAAATATTTTTTTTATCCTGTCAACTGTCTAACTATGGTGACAGACGGACAGACAGACAGCGGAGTCTTAGCAATAGGGTCACGTTTAACCCTTTGGGTTCCGGAACCCTAAAAAATCACAGACTAAGACGTGCGTGTTTTTTTTGCCTTCAACTGTAAACCTTTTTTAATCGGGAACAATATATTGTTTTTTGTTGTTATTTTGCATACGTACAATAAATTAAATTCTCAGACCCAGACAACACATACTACAGACCTCCCGACAGTGTCGTCTTTGCCTTGTTTATGGAAAACCTAGCTGCTGCCCGCGACTACATCTGCGTAGAATAGGCTGAAGGCGTAACATTCAAACAGAAAGTCAGATATACATAAAAACATGCCTATGTCTTATTCTGACGTATAAGCTATATTATTGTAAAGTTTCATTAAAATCCATTGAGTAGTATTTGCGTTAAAGAGTAACAAACATCCATCCATACATACAAACTTTCCTGTTTATAATATTAGTAAGGAAGTAAGGACATGACACAAGTTGACACACGTTGACTTAAGGTCTTACTTTACTTCAAAAGATGTTATTGCTTTCAGTCCGTAGACTATTAAAGCTTCAGAGATCTTGGGCCAGCCAGAATCCCCAAGTTTGTTACGGCCCTCCACGGATGCGTTATTTTAAACGGGAAGAACGTAACCTACGCGCCATTAAGAGTTCGGTAAGGACCCTGGACTTAACGCCAAAACAAAGGAAGCAAAAGGGAAATAATACCTTATTTTACGGGATGAATCATGAACAGTTTTGGTTATTAAGCGAACCGAAAGTAATACTTTCCAACTGATTTCATAAACGGAGGAGGTTCTCAATTCGACTGTATTTCTTATTTGATGATTCTTTTTTTATTGAAGTTACACTTCTTTTGGCGCGTTAGGGAAAAATGATGAGAGTAAATTTTTACGATGCGCGCGCACACCGTCACGAAAAACCGACACCCTGAAGAAGATAGACATCTACGTATGTTTGCGTAAGAACTGACAACTGATTCGCGATATTTATTTTGTGATATTTAAATAAACTTTATTTAACTTGATAATACGTTATAATAAAACTTTCAATGTATTAAATATTTTTTTTCTATTGTTGGTGTCGTTTTTTTACAAACGTAGAAAGGCGAAAGATATAATTTTTGAAAAAATTTTTATCTTGTTACGCCAAAGAAGTATAACTTCTAACGCGTGTACATAATTTGAAAGCTGGTGCTTCCCATGTGGTCCCATATCAATCTTATTGGCATTGGATCTGGGGCTCCGGAGATACGATGGGAACTCCTGAAAATCAATTATAAAATGAATACAGAGCGAGATTTGTTTTCTTTTTCGTTAATAAAGAAAAATTACGTGTTATTTTTGTGGTACGCATGCATAGGCCGGTAAGTATCACGACCTCACAGTGAATTTATACTTCTGCGTTTCTTCTGAGTAAAGTACATGGGCCCACATTATTAAAAGATGCCAGCGCATCTGCAACCCTATGGGTGTTGCAAATATCAATGGACGGCGGTTATCACCGTGTTATCATCATCAGGTGAACCGCCAATTCGCTTGCCATTTTCTCACATAAAAAAATAATTTTAATATTATACATAAACGTTTATTTAGTGCCGACGGTGCTATTTTTTTAAGTAAGCACGAAAATATAATTATTGTTATAAATCTTATAGTTGCAAAGCAAGAAACGACTATTTTGTTCTTATTCACGTGAACTGTTGATGATCAACTTTGTTTTGATAGAGATTGGCATTAAAATGTCCAAAAACTCTAATGTACATATGTAAATTTGAAAAAATATTAACATGTTTTTGATATTTTAATTGTACCTAAGTCAATATAGATAACTAATGACAATCTAATAATTTTACTACCATGCAGAAAATTATTTTGCCTACGATAAATATATTGTAGAAACATAAATTTGACACTCAATATACTACCTAATGTGCACAATCTGTGATACAAATTTTAACCTTTTTAAATACATCTTATCGTATTTTTTAAAATTTACGACTTTTCAAGTCTTATAAAAACAATATGAAGTGTGCCCGCCAAAAAATCTTGTCAGTCATAAAGTTCATTCGTACCTCGCCACTTATGAAAGTTTGTGTTACACTATTTTTAAGAGATTTAATAATTTTATGTTATATATTATTAAATTTATTTGATTTGCATTGTTAATTAGTAGAAAATCTTTTGTATCAAAATAACTATCAGAGTCACCCATTGAGTGTAGCATATTTTCTTGTAGGTTACGTTTTGAAATTGCAATGCTTACACACGCACCAGAAGATTTTCTATATGCGTCAATGCGTAATTGTTCTCTATACGCGTTGAAGTTTCCCGAAAGTTTAAGGACGTGTAAGTAATTGTTCAATATTTACACCGTTTCGTCTGATACGCATGTGGTTGCAACTTGCGTCAAGGTCGCGCGATGGGGGCCTAACGTAACGCGCAGATAAACCGTGAAAAGAATTCCGTACAAACTAAAAGCGGTGGCAAGTGCGGCCGAGATGGCTACCGAGAGCGGTCACACGACGCCACTTCTCTATCAGCGCCCTCCCCTGCCCCCGCGCGGTGGCCAGCGCGGCGCCCGTCGCGCGGAATTTGCACGCCCGCCGCGCGGTTTAGTGTACGTGCGACTGCCCGCGGCTTAGGACGTTACGCCGCGCTACGCGCACGCCACTTATTACGCAGTTGCGAGCTACGACGACCGCGTGGATTCCTCAACGCTTTTGCCCGCCTTTGTTACGCTTACGAACGACCTCGTCGGAACAGTGGTACCTATACTGTTAGTGCGAAAAAGTTGTTAAAGTGCCGTCCGAACATATAATATATATATAAGAAGTGGTGATCTCGGGGACTACAACGGTGACCGTCGTAGGCGAGCGGTACGTTGTATTGCGAGCCACGTTACAAGGTTATCGCGACTTTGGTCCGCCAGTGATGAATTGGAAAATCGGCGCGTAGACGCTCACGTGGTGCGCGCCCCGCCCCCACCTCATTCCGCGCTTATATTTAGCGAAAATCGCCTCTCGGGAGCGGCCCGAGGGCAGATGCTCTCTGCGCATATCTCTGTTTATGAACGTTAGTGAGACGCCACATGTTATTGGCTTCGTACACCAGAGCCGATAAGGAGGAGTTAGATAACCTTTCCGGACCGCAGGCCGGCTCTGACGACGTTCTGGAAATAGAAAGAAGTCTGACGAGTAACGGTCGCGGGTGTGCGTGATGGTAACGGGTGGTGTAGAGGAGTGCCGGTGAGGTGATCGCGCTCTCCGACACACCCAGCGAAAATTTCCATTGCTAGACTAGTAAAAATCGAGGACATGTCAATACAGGGAAGTGGTAGTTATCAGCAGAGCCCGTGGTCCTCCCAGACGGTACTATCGGAAATTGAGGGTACCATGGGAGATCTAGAGCCTCTAGGAGAACTTGCAGAAGTTGGTTTCGAGCCGCAAACGCGCGCAAGATCAAACACGTGGCCTTTGCCTAGACCAGAGAATTATGTGGACCCAGCTGATGATTCCAGTTCGAAGAAAAACTCCAACCAGAATCTGACCGGTAAATCTTTTCGTCACCTTAGTGATAGCAGCGTCATTCTTGCCATATACTTGACTCATTCAATCTAGACAAATGAAAACAAACGAAAACGGGTTAACATTTATATATGCTTTAAAATTAATTATTTTAATTAAAATACAACCTGTTTCAAACGATAATTTTTACATATAAGGTTTAAGATATAAGGTTCTAGAAGTAACTTTCCAAAGGGTTATCCCGTGTTATTGTTACTTAAATTTCAATTCTTTCATTTAATAAATCCTATTTATTTTAATACATTTAGGTGTTTTCTCACGTCCATGTTTATTTACATAATATCTTCCCATCGTTTAGTTTTTGTTTTAAATCTACATATGAACGTTCCCGTGAGTAATATTCCCGCCAAAGACCTTAGAGGCAGGCTATCAAAACCAATGTCATTTTCCCGCCGTACCCTGTCAAAAACGAGTGACATAAATTATGTAATTGCAATAATAGTTTAACAATACAGGTAATAAATGTGCAATAAACATTTAACGTAGTGGTACATTAAAATACAAGAGCTGGTTATATTTTATGCATTCCTATAAATAAACAAGATAGATTATATGTATTTTGATAAATTATTGAAAAGTAAAATACTCTGAACATAGCTCCACTCTGAAGGACCTCGAAATATTGCAATAAAGTTAAAAACTACTATTCCTAAAAAAAGAAAGATTTCATCAGTAAATTGGACTAGTAATTGGACTAAGATAAATATTAAAACAGCCGTTAACCATAATATTATTACGGAGTGTATAAATGAGGAGGATAATCTCTGCGTACAAAGTGTCCTTCGAAAGGCGGTAAATCGGAAACTCAAGGGCAACGTGGGTATTAGGGAGTGATGAATGTATTATTAGTGTGAAATGGTGAATGAATTAATGGTTTCCATGGTTACTTTTCCATCTTAGTTACATTCATACTACTACGTACATCTTAATAAGGGACCAACGTTTTACTTTTAAAATTTCATAAAGTGTGAAATTAAGGAAGAAAGCCTTCAGTACTTTCACTCATACAGTGTACCTTGCATGTGGTATATATAAAATTAAAGAAAAAATAAACTGGTTAATGAGCTCTCGTTAACGGCGAATGTAAGCGATATCAAGTACTGATCGAAAACTTTCTACGCGCGGTGTGCCATTGCACCAGTGCATATGCTTTCCAAAAAACAAAATACATACATTTAAAAAAAAAAAAACCGGCCAAGTGCGAGTCGTACTCGCGCACGAAGGGTTCCGTACCAATATCTATAAAAACGACAAAATTAATAATGTCTGATGTATGGGAGCTCCACTTAAAGATTTTTTATTTTGTTTTTTAATATTTGTTATAGCCACATTCTCAATTGTGAACTAATTTTTAGGTTTCCGTACCCAAAGGGTAAAATGGGACCCTATTACTAAAACCCCGTGTGTCCATCCGTCCAAGTGTCATTTATTGTTTTTGCCATTTGCTAGATTTTCATAGTCATATTAACTCTCTAGCCGTAACTTGCTCTCAACCACCAAAGGTTAACTGGAAGAAAATGTACAAACTATTGGTACAACAAAAATATTCAATCAATCAATACATTAATGAAGTTAATATGAAAATAGAATATTAATTTCGGTTCTTACTGCAAATATAAATATAACAGTAAGATTTGTAAACGAGGTCGATGATAAATTCAAGAAACAGGTTCAGACTTAACTTTTCAACCATCAGTCACCACTCACCAGTTGAGTTCGACAACGGCGTGCATGAATTTGAAAACTAAAACTTTAGTCGAATATATGTGTGGTTTATTGTATCCCTAACACGCGGAAAAACGTGAACATGCGTTATAAGTCTCAAAAAAGTTTCAAGTGTGTTTCTTTTTACTGCATTAATAATATTTGCAAGTGAAATTGAAATTTATTATCGATATCATGTTTTACAGACACATTTTCTTTTAAAGTGATTTGCTCCGGTAACTTTGATATATTACTTGTATCCTTACAATGGGGTCACAATTTTTTTATTTATTTTACATTATATAAAATATGTTTTCGATCCATTTCTTTTTATTTGGTCTTTTCAATAGGTGATACATATAGAAGCACCACATAATGCATGACCCAGACAAAGTAGCGATTACTTATTTTGTTGCTATTTGGAAACCTTGAAATTTGTATGACAAACGGATGCATTTAAAATATTCACATGCCAGTCAATTGTTTTGCAGAAAATAACAAAAACAACAATGTGCGCGATTATTATTACCATATTACTCAATTCAAGGGCGATATGTTGATAACACTTTTTTTTGTAGCAATTTTTTTTCTGTAACTTTTTTATGTGATTGCATTTCGAATTTTCGGTGTATCAAGTGAATTACTAGCATTCTGGAATGTGAAGTAAACATCCGATATTATAAAGCTTTATGATAATATGCAAATTTAGAATGAAAAGGCATTTCTCAGTGTACCGAACAGGTTTCACTTTATTCATATTCATTGTTTTAATTATACATGTGACTAACATATGACCCGGGAAATGAGCTATACGACAAGTAACCCGAAACGGCGTCAAAAGTATATTTATTTATTTATTCTTTATTGAAACACTAAAAAAAAAGTATAATTCTTCAATCGAATGAACGTAGGTACCTGTGTTTTATCTTTTCACCTGAAATTACTCTGTGACACCGTTGCTAAGCTACTGACTTGGGTGTCTGGAGTTATGGGTTCGATTCCCACACGGGACAAGTATTTGTGTGACCCACAGAAAATTATTCTAAAAGAAACTGGAAAAGTATGAAATTTCATATAATTAGTTCATTTCGTTTCGTATCGACAACGATAAGCTAAGTCCATGATATTACAACAACACAAATCGTCCGCCCAATTAAACTTTTGCTATAAAATTAGATACTTTGATCAAACCCTGAAACAATAATACTGTTATACTATACCAATAACATACTATGAATCCCGAAACAAAAATTGATTGCTAAATAATTTAAGCTTCTATATTCATTCGTTTAAATCCAAAATATCTGTTTGGCATTTAAGAGGTAGACAGGACTTTAAGAAACACGTAAATATGACATGAAATGATTGCAAATTTTTACATAACATACTGATTTTAAGTATCACTCTAGTAAACATCAAGTATAATTTACATAAAATAGCACTTACCAAAAAGTGTTTCTAGAATTTATTTGTTTACACCATTTAAATGAAATGAATAGATTAATTAACTTTAATAGCTATGGATTAAAAGACTAAAGATAATTAGATAGAGAATCGTACCCCAAGTCACATTTAACATAGCAAGTATGAAGGTTACTAACCTAAAAATATTAACCAGCAATTATTATTTAAAATATTAGTAATATGGTGGGTTTGAATAAACTAACGATGAGGGAAAACTACTACAGCGTCTTTTTTGGAGATATTTTCTTTGAGTTTGTGCCCAGACAAGAAAGTTTCTACATTTATTACACATAAGCACTTTGCGAAAATTTTATGATGATCTAAAGAAATCCGTTAGCTAAACGCCTTGGGATTAAAGAATAATTTTAATTATAAAAATCATATGTAATAATATGCACTGAGCTCCAAAGTTGTCAATGCACCTAGAAGGCCCTCAGGTTTTATAGACGTTCATGGGCGGCGATATTCAATTAACTTCAGGTAAACCGCCTTCTCGCTTGCCAACTTTTCAAATAAAAAAAAAGTCTGAACTATCAGCTCATAACTTATCTTCTAAGGATATTTGCAGTAGTAGGAATATGCTTAAAACCCTTATTTCCCGGTAGTGAGAGTATCCCCGTCGTTTTTTTTAATTTTGAAAATATTAAACATATCATAGTAATATTATTCTTTATTGAACTTTTGTTCGCAAAACGTATTAGTGGCGCGCGTGAGGAATATTTGTAGGTCACAAAATTTATCAGGGGCTGGTCTCGGAGAGGTGAATATCAATAGAGATTGTAAAAGATTAAATTCGTTGATTTGCGATTCAATCTTAACGAATCCAGATGGTCTGATCGCCAAAAGAAAAGAAAAAGTAAAAGCATATACAAAACCCACTGCTGGGTTAAGACCGTTGTTCAGAGGGTATAAGGGCATAGTCCACCAGGCGACCTCACTGCAAATTGGCAGACTTCACATATCTTCTGAAAATTATAGCCTATGTGTTATTCTGATGTAAAAGCTATAAAGTTACATTAAAATCCATTCAGTGGTTTTTGCGTGAAAGAGTAACAAACATCCATCCATACATACAAACTTTCGCCTTTATAATATTAGTATGGAAGTAAGGATAGTAAGGATATGCGGGTTTCCTCACCGCTGAGCGCGTGATAAGTCGGCATAAAATTAACAATTTCATTGGTGCTAGATTGAATTAAAAGCGAGAACCGGACACTAAACAAACATGGCTCTGTAATATCGAACAAATTAATTCATAAATGTAAATTCACAATTTTAAAGATTTTTCCCGACCCCAATCTAGAAAACTAGATTGCTAGACAATATTAAATAACATGCATCAGCGTCGGATCAACAGTGTCCGGGACACTGAGCTAGCGCCAGGATACTGAGCTATCACGGCACCTAATGTCGACACCGTCCATCGTAATAATGGTTTCTTTCGACCAGGGGCCCCACCGCTCCCGGCGGTTGCTACGAAGAAGAACTCCTCCCGGCGGAACGCTTGGGGCAACTTCTCCTACGCCGATCTCATAACGCAAGCCATCACCTCCGCTCAGGACAACAGACTCACGCTGTCCCAGATCTACGAGTGGATGGTGCAGAACGTGCCATATTTTAAGGATAAAGGCGACAGTAACTCATCTGCCGGATGGAAGGTAGGTTCTAGTTTGGTTTCTGTATTTTTGGGGCTTTTATATCAATAGCGACATGTACATTCAGCGTTCTTACGGTAAAGTACTTTACATTTTTTTTAAAAAAAGGACGAAACGACTTTCGCCATTCACTACAGTCAATCACGCCAGTCTACCGGATTCGCGCCAATACGCTTTAACCAGTAAGCTAAACGGCTGATTACTACATCGACGAAAACCTCAAAAGACTCAACGTTTTTTATCTAGATTATTTTTTCGCGTTATAAGCAATGCATGGCGTATTTTATAGTTGTTCCGCCCGGTTTTATAGCGCTAATTAGAACGAGAGATGTTGCCATGCTATGTGATATTTAAATGTTTATAGTGCTAATCTCTGCGCTTAGGATGAATTATTAAAATTTGTGGGGAAGCACTATAAAATTTAATTTTGGAATGTACTTTTATAATTTATTTTCAATATTGCTAATGCAGTTTTGACTTGTGTGGACGTCGAATCTGAGAGCCATTACACACCACCATTGACTGAATTTCGTCTGGTAACCTTACCAAGCAGTAGCAGCGATGTCTACCCAGACATCGCTATTGCTTCATAGGCGTTGTTTTCTATTGATTTCACTCATCAATATACGCATCTACTGACAAAGTTGAGGCGCCTGTACGTTTGCCATTGGTCGTTACCATTGGTTGTTCTCACAAAAAAAAATATAATAGGCTAGAAAATAATTCACTCAACAAACGAGATTACGTTTTTGTGTTAATAAGAACCCGGAGACTCATTTAGCATTGTAATTATCAATTATGTATTATGTATGCGACATAAAAAAAATAATGCTCGATACAATTACAAGATAAAAGTCATCGGGCTTAAAATCCTCTATTCGTGTTATGTTACGGAATAATAAAGAAGCAATCGCTGCGTTAATAATGAAATAGTCCGTGTTGACCATTTTAGGTATTATTAGGTTAGTTCATTTTAGGTATTGACGACCGTTCATATCGCAAGCACTAATTAAGTGTTCGTTAGGCATTCAATGTTACCCCGAAATAAAAACCGATGATACGCCGCCATTTGCGTATTCAAGAATCACTATAACATACGACTCCGAATCAAAACGAACTGTCCGTGTATTTACTTTATAATTAACTGTTATCGTTATTTGGAGACCATTAACGAGCGACTGTAATTTATTGATAGGTTACCACTGCCAACTGCGCTTATAAACTCCGGTATCTCAAGTACGGAGACTTATATTTACAATAATATCCCCCCTCTCCCTCTATCAGCGACTTTCAACGTTCTTTTGTTATATTCGTTTCGTACATTTCACGATTAATTAATTATTATTAATTATGTGTCATTTTGCCTTTTATATCAGTTGTGGTCACTGGTGCATGTATTTTTTTCCTATGTGAATCTTCACTCGAAGGCTGCTAATTATTTCATTTTTACTACGTTTCATTAAGTTAATTATAGACGATACAATTGCGTTTATTGTATTTGCTAAAGAACGCAATAAATATTCGAATCCACGACTTGTTAAGATGTTAGATTATCTTTACTACTGTATAATATCAGGTCCTCACATGTGGTCTGTTTAATGGTCTGTAGTACATTACATGCTGCTATGTTTTATGCACTCGTTTGCGGAAGAATAAGCGGTATTGACTTTTTCCTGTCTGAAATAATAACCATACGCAAAAAGTTTTTATAATTTGAACATGTTTACTGGTCGGTTATAAAATTTGCTTTAATGTATAAGAAGTACGTTCCAAATTAAAATTTGTGACGGAAGCTGGTTTTGTAAAGAAAACAACTTTTACTTACATTTGTGGCGCGATATCTTAAAACCTTTTTTATATTTAACCATCGCATAATGTTGACGTTTTGCATTAGTATTCTGTTTGTTTAGCAGTCTCGAAAGTGGTAGGTAATGGTAATGCCACCAAAATGATTATTTGATGACTCCGTGGCGCAGCTGTCAAGTTATTGACTTCGGCGCTAGGGCTCGATTCCCACACGGGACAATTATTTCAGTGACGTTGTGATATAAACGACGATGTGAAGTTTATGTCTGTTAGACTTCCCAAACCCAAATTATAATATTATTACAGTAAAGGCAATGTTTTAAAAAAACCTGCCCGGACGGACGGACCTGCCCATTCGTGGTCCGTCAGATCACTGCCACCTTTTCACATTAAAAACTGGATAAGATCCGGAATACATCGAATTCGATTGGATTGGCCATCTCGAGTTTAGCCACGATCCCATACAGCATTTCCGGAACGTTTCGAAGTGACGAGTAAATCCGTCTCTGCAAACCAGCCGATAAGTAAACAATCTGGACAACACGGAGAGGATAAGATGTTTGTTATGCTAACGAATGCCCCGGGCCGTGTTTCTAACGAGCGAGTCACTCTATCCTATTCTTCTAACTGCTTATCCCTAAAAATAAATATTTCAATATACCATGAGTGTAAAATTACTCGCATCTTTATCTTTGATTATAACACGTTAATCGTTTCAATATGACTTACCAGGAGTGTAAAATACTCGCCTTTTTATCTTTGATTATAACATATAATCGAATCAAAATCTTATGAATAGACTGACACTATTTCTGGCTTTATTTTATAAATCTTAAATAAACACGAAAACCCTAAAATTATCAAACATACAATACAATAAAAATAACGTAGAATTTTGTTTTTGCCTAGATGTCAATGATTTACGTTTATGATGAAATGATACAGAAGATGTTTACATTAAATAATAAATTTCGTCAATTATTTTTCATTATAACATTAATTGAATTAAAATGTTATGATTAGACTGACTGAAACAATTTCTGGCTTTATTTTATAAATCTTAAATAAAGACGAAGCCCCTTGAATTATCAAACAAACAATACAATGAAAAAATAACGATACAATTGTATTTTCGCCTCGGTCTCCTTTTTTTACGGTTATGTTGAATGATACCGAAGATATTTACATATCATTTTGTTTCTTTTTTTTTTACCTTTTTTTGACATCGCGGAAACAACAGACGTTGTCCTAAATTGTGATTAAATCCGACATCTTTTAAATAAAAAAAAATGAATTGTGAATCTAAATCATTCTCGAAACGACCTGAAGACACAAAAAATTTCATTAAAATCGGTCCAGCCGTTCAGGAGGTGTTCAGTACTTGCTTCGGCAGTACATATACTAAAATTGGAACGATACAGAGAAGATTAGCATGGCCCCTGCGCAAGGATGACACGCAAAATCGTGAAGCGTTCCACATTTTTTCAAATAGAGGCATCCGCGTGTAGGTTAGCGCTCACCGGCCACAGGCCGCTTGTACTAGTCTCAGCCTACCTCTCGGGGAATAGAACCCTCCTTCAAAGCGACCTAGATACGCTTCTTAACTTAGGCCCTTCCGTGATAATTGCAGGAGATCTAAACTGCAAACACGGCTCATGGGACATCAACAGCATCCCAAACAACAACGGAAAGCATCTCTTTAGCTTATCCGATAACCTAAATTTCAGTATAGTCGCTCCCGCGACTCCCACTAGGTATCCTACGGTGGACAACTACCAGCACGCGTCACCGAGTGTCCTAGACATAATGTTATTCAGGGAGGTCTCGCTCGACATCGAGTCGATAGAGACAATCCATGAACTAGACTCAGACCACAGGCCCGTCGTCCTGTGTAAACTGGGCCAGAACGCCGGCGCGGTCCCTCCGACCAAATCCGTAGTGGACTGGCATCGTCTTGAGGTCAAACTCAAGGCCTTGGACCCCCAGAACTTAGTAGACTTACCCGAGACGATAGCTACGTTCGATGACGCAAATCGAGCGATAGCGAGTCTCCGCGAAACTATCACTTCCGCAGTCACAGACTCGGAACGGACGGTGAAACTGTCGGGCGACCGGCGGTTTAACTTTCCGCCCGACCTGCGACTGCTAATTAGACAGAAAAATGCAGCCAAACGCGCCTTCGACCGATACCGATCGGAATCGAACCGAACCCTACTTCGACGCCTTCAGCTAGAAGTCAAAGATCGTGTATCGGAACACCGACACACAACGTGGGACACTCTCCTAGAGGACATCGAGCCATCGCACACCGCCTACTGGCGGTTGGCCCGCAGTCTGAAAGCAGACCCCCGCGAATCTCTACCGCCGTTAGTTAGACCTAATAGCGCTTCAGAAGCCCTAGATGACTCCGAAAAAGCCGAATGCCTTGCGGACAACCTAGAGCAGCAATGTACGCCATCGCGCGAACATACCGATTCGGTCCACCTAACGGAGGTGGACCGCGTAATCGAGACTAGGGCTGCGCTTCCACCGGAAGGCGAACCTTTAAATTCAGTGACCCCCGAAGAGGTCCAAGATATTATTAAAAATTTAAAACCAAAATCGGCCCCGGGCCCAGATAATATAAGTAATAAGATTCTCAAAGCTCTCCCTGGGCCGCTTATCTGTTTACTGGCGACAATTTTCAATACGCTTCTCTCCAGTTACTCCTTTCCGGACGACTGGAAGCAAGCCACGGTTATCGGCATTCGCAAGCCGAATAAACCAGCCAATAAGCCCTCCAGCTATCGTCCCATCAGCCTCCTCAGTTGTCTGGGGAAGCTCTACGAGCGGCTATTGTTAAACAGGCTCAAAGAGCACGTATTTTCCAACGGCCTTCTGCCAACGGAACAATTCGGCTTTCGAGCTAGACACTCTTGTCCCGATCAGTTATACCGCCTAACGGAGCACATCCTAAAAGGCCTTAACCACCCCAAACACATCAGTACAGGGGCTCTCTTCTTCGATGTCGCAAAAGCATTCGACAAAGTCTGGCACAACGGCTTGCTTTACAAGCTGTACACACTCAAAGTGCCAGATAGGCTCGTACACACCATCCGGGCCTTTTTGTTGAACCGCTCTTTTCGATATCGAGTCGAGGGCACCCTCTCCACAAGCCGCCGCCTCACGGCCGGCGTACCACAAGGCTCCTGCCGCTCACCCTTGTTATTTACGCTCTACACGAGCGACATACCTAGAGACCCCCACGTCAATCTCGCGCTTTTCGCGGATGACACGGCGCTCTTTTACTCAGATCGCAACCTCAGTCAATTAACGACTCGACTCCAAAGCGCCGCCGACCGCCTCGGCGATTGGTTCCGCAAATGGAGAATCGATATTAATCCAGAAAAAAGTGTGGCGATTCACTTCACTCGTAGCACCCCCAACCCCCATCCGCCACACCGTTACAAAGGTCCTCGCCAGTACAGAAAGTTGGGGCAAATATCACTATATGGCCAAACTCTCCCCTGGGAGAAAACGGTCAAATATTTAGGAGTCACTTTCGACTCGCGTATGACTTTCACTACGCACATCAATCAAGTCCGAAATAAAGCCACGTTCGTCTCCGGCCGGCTACACAATTTAACGAATAAGCATAGTAAAATGCCCTTAAGGCACAAACTACTGTTATATAAAGCTTGCGTAAGGCCAATCATGTCCTACGCTTGCATGATCTTCGCACATACAAATCCTACGCGCATTAACAAATTGCAAGTAGTTCAAAGTAAGTTTATCCGCCGCGCAACCGGTGCGCAATGGTATCAGCGCAACGTCGACCTGCACAGCGATTGCAGACTCCCGACGATTCGCGCTCATTTTAAAGATTTGACAAAACGGTTCTTCGATAGAGCCCAGCATCATCCCAACCCTCTGGTGGTAAGCGCAGCAAACTACCAACCGGACACAAACGCGAACGTAAACAAGCGTCGCCCGCGAAACGTCCTCATCGACCCGGTCGACGAAGAGGACTTAGATACGATGGACCCACCGCCCGGGGTCCCGCCAGATAACACTACACCCACAGTTAGTGTAACAACAATCACACCAGTTCGCCCTCGCCTCCGAGCACGGCGAGATCCACACAACGCGTACACAAGGTACACCCGCGTTCCGGGGCGGTTCTCACCGCTCCCAGCCACCGATTAGCTAAATGCACAGTCGACGGCCGTCGGGGTCTCGGTCCGAACAGGCGACCTCGACGGCCCTTAGATGACACACCATAGTAGTTAAACGCACGCATGAGCACATGCGCGACCCTACCCATAGCGGAGGGTCCAAACCCGTGGGTTCTGGCTAGCCCACCGGTTCTGCGTCCGATGAAGCTTTAATAGTCTCGGGACTGAAAGCAAAAACATCAGTTAATACAAGATACAAGATACAAGGAGGTGTTCAGTGACATACACACGTATATATATCAACTATTCCCTGATCTCACGCGAACAATCCAAACAATTCGCGCGGCGTTACATCTGTATCAAAAAAAAAAAGCTATTTCAAAAGTTTTGAAGGCCATCATCATTTGGCCATGGTCCATTAAACTGACGATACGAAGCGACTCATCGCTTACGTAACGTATTGTGTTTTCTGCAAGACAGGGTGACGCTTATTTATAAAGGACTTCAAGACGTAAGTTTGTTATTATCAACTGCGTAATCTCGATCCCAATTTATTGCAAATAAAGGCGAAACTCAGCACTTCAGGTTTATTTATTAACTTATATTGAAGGTTAAATAAGTTCCGTTGATCAGGTAAGGTAAATTA